ATAAATTAAAATCTTAGACTAATAACTACTATTAATTTTAAAAGTATACAAGTTTTAAGTTCTTAATTCTACAAGGCAATATTTTTAAAACATCCTGAATTTCTACTAGTGTGACTCGCGTGACAAATTTGGTCTTAGCATGTTATCATCCATATTTTATCCACCACCCCTCGAAAAAGTAGGAAATTAAATGTAAATAATCTCTATAAAGTCGTTATTGCTCAGACAAACCATAATTTTTATAGTCTTCAATTTTGTTTGGTTACAGAGCTATGAAATAGAAAATCAGACTCCACTTACCACACCAACCCGTCACATCCTCTCTTTCACAATTCGTTGATATAGATCTCTTACGTTTCATTATATGTTACCTATAACCAATAGAAAGTCGAGGTTTTCACCTATCAAATGATGTTCCTGTGGGAAAGTTACCGACTAGTTTGGATGGATTTGTACTGGCTCTTGTCATGCAGTTAGAAAGCCAGAAAACTTTTGAGAGTTAGGGGAATTTGTCTACTTTTTGCATTTTATTAGTGTATATTCTCTGGTGCATTATTTAATTAAATAAAAATTATTAAGTGAATTACTATCATTACTATAAAAAATCAGGCTTAACTGTCCTCAACAATCGAGGGCAAGAAAAAAGAAGATTGGGTAAGTACTTTATTTCTTGTTTTTCATATTTATTCTTTATTCATTATCATAAAAGTAAATAAAATCTAAAAATATGGATCTTTTTAAGTTATTTAAGACTAGATTAGGTAAAATAAGTAATAATAATAATATAATTAAAATGGTTCATGAGGCAGGACACGAGTAGCTTGTGGTTAATGTAATTCGATAGCATAACATGAGCTGCACATTCCCCGAGAGAGTTCTAACTTATAATGGTGAGGATACTAGTTAGACACGGTTCAAAGGGCAATAAAACAACGAAATTTAATTATAAATAGGTGTATACTGTTAGAAACTTAGAGCTACTTAGGATAAACGAATGTAGTTTCATGTTACAATTTGAAGTCATTCTAGAAAGAAAAAAAGGGTAATTTAGGTTTATTTCAATTTTTTTTTTTTTAGTTTTTATAAAGTCGGTCGAATTGACTGATCCCGTTTTGAGATAGAGTAGAGAAAATAACAGATAGGCTATAAAGTTTTATTGAAAAAACGTTTGAATTGCATTTAGGAGATTTTAGGGATTAC